CTGGAACCAAGAGAGCTCTTCTTGAGGGCCCAGGCTGGAGACCTGGTTGCCTTCCTGCTTGGGGCAGGTGGCTCTCATAATGCGTTTGGCTCAGTTTTTAAAAGGGGGGGAAGTTGTAGGTTCTGCTTTCTTCAGAGACAGCACCCTCCTTCACCAGGGAACTGCACTACAAAGACACTTCGACAAATGATAGCTTTCTTCTGAGACCTGAAGTAGCGGATGACTATATAGAGTTGCACTGCACCTGAAGAAGCCAGCTTGCACAGCGTCTATCTGGTCTGTACTACCCTATAAATCTTCCTTTTGGAAATGCTAGAGAAAGATGGGGAGGGAAGGGTACGTGGTAAGGGTTCCTTGCTCCTTAAAGGAAACCCGATGCACCAGTTTGCTTTTTGCTATGCATTCCAGTTTACGTGAGATCTTTTTTCAGAAAAATTGTGTGGTAACAGTCCTACTGAAGTACACCTACTGTAGCTACACTATCAGCTCAGTTGAAGGTGGAGATAGTAATACCACAATGTTGTGTTACTCTGAAGGAGTTATGACTCTAGAAGTATTCACTCCAAGACAGTGGGACTCCAGCAAACTCCGGCCCCATCTCATTTCTTGGAAATTGTTCACAGCAGGCTTTTTCCCACCCACTAAACACCAAAGATTTAGGTCTATCCCTCAGGCACAAAGCAGGATGACAACAAATTTTAGACAGAAGCTGAGTCCCTGGAGACTGTGTGAGAGGCTCTGACATTATTACATGTATTGACTGCGGGCAGAGATCAATGTGGCTGCTTAAATCACAGCTAAGACAGATTTATTCTGTGTGCGGCAGAAGAATACTGGAAGTAGCATGTTCTAAATAACAAGGCTACAGCTACGCAGGGAGCAAAACAAAACAAAAACCCCAAGAGACCAGGCAGATTGCAAAGCAGGAGAAGAACACTGTTACAGCTCTTCTTAGCGTTACTTTGGGGTATCCCTTGTTCCCCAGTCTCCGTGGGGCTGGAGGAATCTGCACCAAGCCAGTGTTTCCCAGCTGTTAGCACTCTCCTGTTGAAGGAGCCTGGGCATCTGTGCTATGTCACATTTCCCTGCCGTTGGCAAGCTCGTCTCTTTGGTGACCACACTCAATGGGTTGCTTTGTTTTTGTGTTAAATCATCATTAGTGGTGACTGCCACCTTTTAAAAAGAGTATTCCAAAGGTGTTCCTTTAGACCTCTTTCAGCCCTCGGCAAGTAAGCAGCCAAGGTTTTGTGTTATGTAAATCTCCCTTCAAAGGCCTGAGCACCCAGGATGCGGAGAACAGCCAGGCACAGGCGCGCGTTCCTTTCCAGAGCACCATGCGTGCCACCACAGGCGCACCTACCAGATCTGTATGTGCTACATCTCCGAATACCTACCAGATCTGTATGTGCTACAGACTCAGCCAGACATATGGTTGAATCCCAAATGCCATCGGTTCTCCAAAATAGAATCCAGGACAAGGCAGTGAAGTCTGTAGCATATTCTTATGGCACTTCTTTCAGCTCAAGAGATCCAGCCCATGCTTGTTACTGTGACTCATGTTATCTGAATCATTTTAAAATGCTACACCAAAACTACAGTTTCAGAAAAAAACCTAACAGCTTCATAGACAACTAGACTGTGTTAAATCTCCTATCTCTGTACCAGGTTTAAGGTAAAGCCTGACCTTCCATCTCTTTCCATCCCAATCTATTCTCTGTTTAAAAACTCTAGGCAGAAATTTGAAGATGAGGTAAAGTATTCCTAAGGTATTATAGGCAAGGTAAAAAGGATGACCAGGAAACAGTTCAAATAAGTTGCTGCCAGGAGTCTGTGCTGCAGCATTGTTCAATGCTTCTTTGCCGATATTGCAGTTATCTGATACGGTAATTTTAGTTAATGAACTGTCAGGCACAAGCAGTACAAAAACATGCAGCTGTATTTAAACACCTGCCCACTAAAGCAACAAAAATATGCCTTGCTTGAGGTGTCCATCATCACTAAGCCGTTGCTTGATTTGCAATTCAAAATGCATGTAAGCCATGTGGGAACGCTGCTATAAGCCACATGCCTTGTTAAGCATCTTCGCTTTCTGGACAGTTACTCGGTGTAGCAGGAGTGCTAGTGAGTGAGAGTGAGTGATATATTGTTAGGTGTTAGAAACATGTTAGCCGAATCCTCTGCATGTCAGCACATTTATGACTGCCAGTTTGGAGATGCCCCCCAGAGCATCCATCCTCAATACTGTGAGCTGCAGTGAAAGAAACGGTGACAAGGCCAGTACAGCGGAGGTGATCAGAGCAGCAGGCAGGAGACAAGCACTGCTGTGAAGGGCAGCCCAGCTGACCCCAGGACTGTCCCTGCCTTACAAGTGTTGTGTGTATGCGGTAGGGAGGAAGCTAACTGTTAAATGTGTGAGAAGCCTCCAGAGGAAGAGCAGAGGAAGCCACGCAGTGCTGGACTGGGTAAGACAAGGAAGAGGGAGGCCAGGCTTCTCCCCTTGGCTTCTTTTGAGGAAATCACCATAAGCCCTAACTTTCAGAAACATCCGACCATCTGCACCTCGAAATAGCCATCCTTTTGTCTCTCAGTGCTTCAGGCTCTTTATCCTCCCTCTTCTCCATCCCCAGTGCATCTCACCGCAATTCCGCCATGCAACTTGTGC